ATTAAGAGTACTAAATATTCTTCTTGGTTAAGCAGTAATCTCCCACCGATTAGGACGAACCTGAATTTCATCTCCCTGTGTCTACACAAAGACAGGACGTTGTATATTAATAATAATAGACTCCAAGATGTCTAAATAGAACCTCGTCCTAAACCCTGCGTAAAACAGAAAAGAAATCGGGAGAATAATTCGTCCTTCAATCGATATAATTTAAAAGGTGTTCATCAATCGCTGACTTAAGAATCATGGTAATCCTTTGTTTTTAACATCGGTCGTTGATAATAATTTTTCGTATCAACTTTGTTTTCTACTGCCGACGAATATTTTTCTAAAGAAGTGTTGGCCGAAAGGCACCTTAAATCCCTACCCTTCTTTTTTTCTTAAATAAGATACTTTTGTATCTGTTTTAACAATAAAATGGGAAATATGATCCTTATATTTAAATCAGTTTTGACCTGGTGCGACAGTAAAAAGAACCTGTTTATATATATATATATTTAAAGACATTTTTATGTTTAACATTCTTTTTATAGATACAAATATTTAAGTAAATGCTCTGTTTATAATAAACAGTATTAAACAACATTTGCCAGCCTGAATGTCCGAGAAATTTTCACTGAAAATATTTTCCTCCGACAGGATACGAACCTATATCCCATATGGAACCGTCAGTTAGCATGACGTGCCTTTACCGATTTGGCCACAGAGGCGTGTTCGGTTGGCAGATCGTAAAATAAAGATTATTGCTCTACTTTGTATTGGGAACTCTTTTAAATTAGATGTGACGAAGGTTGAAACTGTACTCTATTCGTCCTCATGTTATATATATATATATATATATATATATATATATATATATATATATATATATATATCAAGTGGATAAGAATCCGACGAAATGATAGGATAAAGAACAAGTAGAAAACAAAAACTTTTACACTCTTTAGTGCCGAAGATGTTCGCCACATATATTAGGTTGGTGCAAAATAATGACGTAATAATGTCGTTTTTTGACGTCTTTTAACGTCAAAAACGACATTAATACGTCATTATTTTTGCACCAACCTAATATTTAAATGTTATCTGTTGGTTCATCGCACGTGACACTTATCTAACCAATAAGAAATAACCAAATGCAACATATCATTAGTGTCTCTTTGCTTTTTATCATTTTTTTGTATCATTTCTATCCTGATCTCTGACGAAACTTTAATAAAGTGAAACGTGTTATATTGAGATCTGTTTCCTACTTGCTCGTTATCCTATCATATATATATATATATATATATATATATATATATATATATATATATATATATATATATCCCCCAAAATGTACTCATATATATATATATATATATATATAGACACACACACACACACACACACACACACACACACATATATATATATATATATATATATATATATATATATATATAAAGGTTATAGTATTTCCAACGAGAGAAAAGTTGTATATTAAAAGAAGAGAAAATCCGCAAACGTTTTGGTTGTAATGTGGATTTTTTAAAAATATTATAATTTATTTTCCATAATTATTATGGAAAATAAGGTATAATACTTTTAAAAAATCCACATTACAACCAAAAACGTTTGGGTTTCTTTTTTTAATATGGTATATTATATATATATATATATATATATATATATATATATATATATGTATATACATACATGTGCATATATATATATATATATATATATATATATATATATATATATATATATATATACTGGCTCTCCTGTCGAATTTGACGTATGAGGGTCAATAGATCAGTTCAAGTAAACCGACAGCCCGACAAGAGCACACGAGATTTGATTATAATAGTGAAGGTTTCGTGCCGGACCATCCACCCTTTTTGAAGGGCCGAATACAGAGACCTGGTGCACTACGTACCACAAGATACCCAAACGACCCTCCGCAGGTTTTGAATTCAGTGTTGTCCTTCTCCTAGACCAGTTGCCATTCAAGGCTATAGAACCAAGTCTGTCCTGATATTTACCCATAGCTGAAGGGAGAAGGATTTACACCTTTCCCAAGGGTATTAGCACGTAAGTGAATGTAATGGATTCGACAGGAATTCGACCTCGGTTCTCCAATTCCTCAATCCAAGCCGCTATCCACTATATATATATATATATATATATATATATATATATATATATATATATATATATATATACAGGTAATATGAGAACGAATAGAGTACAATTTCAACGTTCGTAACATTTAATTTAAAAGAGTACTCAATATTTATTTTACGATATTAAAACGAAAAACGTCATAATCGCTGCAAAATGGAAGTTCGTATCAATGATCTCATCAGGCGATTGTAAATTACACTCAGTAATTTACAATCTCCTGATGAGATGTGTTTATACCCATCGAAACACGACTGCACTTGTGTAGCGATTTTGACATGTTTTTTCTACGTAATATCTTAAAATAAAGTATATATATATATATATATATATATATATATATATATATATATATGTGTGTGTGTGTGTATTTATGCTTTATTAGAAGACTTAATACTAAGCAAATAGAACATAATACTTCTTCAACTAATCCCAAACATATTAATCTCTTATATCGTAGTAAAATGCATACTAATTATAAACAAGATGAAAATATACTAAAAAAATAGCAAATACTAATATATCTACAACAGATCCTAGCAAAAAATTAGCTTAATCATATACTACACTAAATCTAGTCTATCCAACTTAACTATTCGCAATGATTCTACCCCCTCCCCGTTAGCGATTTGCAAAAAACCAACATAGTTTACAAATTCAAGTTCCCTTTGGCAGATTGTATCTCCAACGAATTAAATAATATTTATGTTGGTCACACCACAAACTCGCTTTCAGGACGCTTGACTCTATATTTGAATGATAACTCTAACATTTTTAGGCATTGAAAACAACATGCCTGGCCGCGTAGACAATTCCGGAAAATCCTTGTTGAAAATACAACTATACTTAAACATGGAAACAATAAACAAAAACTAAAAATTCTTGAAGCTATATACATAAAACAGTTGAAATCTAACCTGAACAAAATAAACTATGAAATCTCCACAAATATTCTTAAATGCCTATAATTGATAACAGAAGCAATTGGTTTATACCATGGCTTCCCATACTTAATACTTCTCGTTTTCACTCTCGCGTGTCATGTGTGACGTCACGAGCTTCGACGCGATTTTCGCTTCCGAGTCTTGTATACACGAGTTTCTCGTTGCTTTGAAATTTTTCACGCAACAAAAACAGACTATCATTATTTTTTCGTCCGTGTATTGTTTGATATATTGAAATGTAATTGTGATCTTTGATAATGGGTAATGTAAGCCGAAAGCTTAGATTGGATTGAAACATGTATCAATATGGTGATTTCCTTTCGTCTTTCAATGATAATGTTATTAAGCTTATCAGACAATATGAAAGGAACTTACTTAAAATAGACAAAACTTGTCTATATTATTTAATGAAACATGCATTAATATATATATATATATATATATATACAGGAGCCAGTATTAAATTCAGCTGTCAAGGTCTGATTAACTTTTTTTATTGTAATTAGTTCTTGATAATCACTGAAATGATCAAAGATACTTAAAAAAAAAAAAGACATGACAGTTTGAAGGAAAAAAGAACAATGACAATCTTTGAACAATTGATCCATAATTTTGATTCGGACGTGCAGCAATTTATTTGAAAAGTTTATTGGATAAATACAATAAAAAAAATGAAACAGACTGATCTTTTCTCTCTCTCTTTCTCTCTCTATATATATATATATATATATATATATATATATATATATATATATATATATATATACACTGAGCTGATCCTGAGAGATACTGCGGTACCAGACCAATATGAGGCAAAGTCGGAGCAAGCTCTTAAAGCTTCGCCCATTTCCATAAATCATTTTAATATCTCAGTCCCCAAATAAAGGATCTTAACAGAACAGATACTACACTTTGATCTCTCTCTCACACACATTGTGTATCTGGGTAGTAGTTCTTCTTTTATGCATGTTTCGTTGAATATGTCGAATAAAGAATATTGTCTAAGTTTTGATTCAGTTTTTCGAGTGTTCTTAAAGCGTCTCTCTTTTGAAGATTAAGTGCGTCAGGCCGTTACAGAAACTGAACAAGAAAACTTAAAATAGGATTCTTTGTATGTCATATCGCACGAAACAAACACACAAACGCAGCTTTGTCAATAAGAAGTCGGCTTCTATAAGCAAGATTTTGACGCCTTTTATAGTGCATAGACCAGTTATGGCAAACTGCGGCCCGCGGGCCACATGCGACTCGATTTGGCTTTCTGACTGGCCCGCCAAATTTCATGAGGAAAATAACATTTATTAAAATGTTTGTTTATTTTCGTTCTCACTTGTTCACTCACACACTCTCTCACACCTCGCCACATACCAAAGCAACGATTAAGTACAGGATGGTCGGAAAGTCTTGTCACCCCTATATAATATAATTTTATATTCCAGGTGGCTGACAAGAAATCTCACAATTTGAAAGAGAGGCTGCTTGCAAGTGTATGGACACAAGATCGTGTACATTCTGGCAAGAGCATGGAAGATGGGCGACATGACTTCACCGAAAGATTACTTGTTCTTCTATTGTTCTCATTACATTTTGGTAGGTGGTGACAAAACTTTCGGACCACGCTGTACAATGTTTCTTGAATTTTGTAAGTTTTCGTTGAAGGTACCGTTGTTAGTATTTTAAACCATTAGCGATTTTCACTAAGGAAGACCATAAGTGTAAACACCTTTTTGCTTCAGAAACAGGAAACGTTAATGATATTTTTCTCTAGAGAATAAATAAATTTTAGTTTCTTAAAAACAATGTTTTGCATCGTCAAATGAATCAATTAGAAACAAATCACACACAGCAGCAAGGGTTAATCACTCTGTCATCTGTGAATTATGATATAGGAAGACTTCATAAAACTTTCTTTTTTTTCTTCTTTCTTTCTTTCTTTCTTTCTTTCTTTCTTTCTTTCTTTTCTGTTTCAGAACTTGTTTCTTTCTTTCTTTCTTTCTTTCTTTCTTTCTTTTTCCTTTCAGTATTGTTCATTCCTTCCTTCCTTCCTTTCTTTTCCTTTTCATAATTCCTTCCTTCCTTCCTTCCTTCCTTCCTTCCTTCCTTCCTTCCTTCTTTCTTTCTTTTCAGAACTTGTTCATTTCTTTCTTTCTTTCTTTCTTTCTTTCTTTCTTTCTTTCTTTCTTTCTTTCTAACACACATCACACAGCAGCGAGTGTTAATCACTCTGTCATCTGAGATGATAATATACGAAGACTTTAGGGATTTCTTTTAATTATAGAAGTAATCTTTTCTCCAAAGAAAAAAAAATCGACGATTTTCTCCATTTCTAAATCAGATGCTTATGCGCATGCTCTTTTGTTTTCAAAATGGCTGCGGTATCTTTAATGAAAAATTACCTTGATTTTGTTTTTTTTTAGTCGTGCGGCCCATCTTATGATGAAGTGTACGTCATGCGGCCCACTGTTCGAAAAAGGTTGCCCATGCCTGGCATAGCCTGTCACTCATTCGTCCCGCCCCTAAAAGACCGTCTGTCTCTAAATAGTATCCCTCAGAAAGTGCATTTGACAGAAATTTGTCTGAGACAATACGAATAAAGTAATTAAAAGTTCAAGGTATTGTGTGTTCGCAATATGAGGCAAGGTAAAGAGATTTAACTTTAAATTTTCCATGACAAATGTGATTCTCATTGTGCATTGTAAGTTTCTCGCCTTTATATCGTTGCATATTGTCAACTTTTTCGGCTTTTTTTTGTTTCTTTGCGTATGAGAAGGGACAATTATTTAACTTGTTTCTTTTAAAGAAGTTCTGAGTGTTCACTTCTAGGAACAATTTTTTTTAAAACATTATTTTTTAAAACAATGTGTTTTAAAACAATGTTTTTTAAAACAACGTTTTCCACTGTTTTCTCTTAAAACTGAGCTTAATTTTAACTCGTTCATAAATCTCGCGATTAGTTTTTTGCCGTTGGAGTTGTCTTCATTAGTCAGTTCGTTTTGAATTTTTTAAAACGTTCTTGCATTATACGTAGACATAATTTTGCAATATTTGTATATAATTTCTTTCTTTTCCTTTACATTTACGCCTTTTCTTCTTTCTTTCTTTCTTTCTTTCTTTTTGACACTTTTTCATTTCTTTCTTTCTGCTTGCTTTCATTATCCATGTGATTTCTTGTAGCACATTTTTTTCATTTTCTTTCTTTCTATATTTCCTTCTTTTCATATTTTTATTTTTTCTTCCTTTCATTTTTTCTTTCTTTTTCAGAACTTATTCCTTAATTTCATTCATTTTTTCTTTCATTCTTTCTTTCTTTTTTTTCCTCGTTCGTTTCCTCTTGTCTTACTTTTTATATTTTAACTCCCTTCCTTCCATTTACGATATTCTTTCTTTCTTTCTTTCTTTCTTTCTTTCTTTCTTTCTTTCTTTCTTTCTTTCTTTTCAGAACTTGTTCCTTCCTTCCTTCCTTCCTTCCTTCCTTCCTTCCTCTTTTGGGAACTTATTCTTTCTTTCTTTCTTTCTTTCTTTCTTTCTTTCTTTCTTTTCAGAACTTGTTCCTTCCTTCCTTCCTTCCTTCCTTCCGTCCTTCCTTCCTCTTTTGGGAACTTATTCTTTCTTTCTTTCTTTCTTTTCAGAACTTGTTCCTTCCTTCCTTCCTTCCTTCCTTCCTCTTTTGGGAACTTATTCTTTCTTTCTTTCTTTCTTTCTTTCTTTCTTTTCAGAACTTGTTCCTTCCTTCCTTCCTTCCTTCCTTCCTTCCTTTTTGGGAACTTATTCTTTCTTTCTTTTTTTCTTTCTTTCTTTTCCATCCCTTGTTAATTTCTTTCTTTTTTTTTCTTTGTTCTTTTTCCTTTTGGCGCCTATTGTTTTTGATATTTCATTTGTTTATTTGTCTCAACCTTTCCTTCTCCTTTTTTCCCTTCGTTCACTCCTTATATATTTTTTGCCGTCTCTTTTTATTTGTCCCTCTTCTCATTTCTTTATTTTCGTTTTTCTCTTCTTTTTCTGTTATTTTTTTATGGTTTACATTGTTCATTTTTTGAATATTTTCCTTCTTTCTTTCTTTCTTTCTTTTTTTCTTTCTTTCTTTCTTCTTCTTCTTCTTCATCAATTCAGTTCTTTCTACCTTTACTTAAAATTCCACAAGAAATAAACGTATCGCCAAGCGCAAAATAAAGACATGTATTTCCTAGTATATCTTTAATATACATAGCCCTCATCCATCCAAATTTCAAATAAGTACAGCCTGATATATATATATATATATATATATATTCTGTTTCCTTGATATTTTTCAGTCAGAAAGAAGTTTATTTGATTTTTTTTAAAATAAATATTTTTTTGATTCATCATTTTTTAAAAATAGCCTGAAGTTGGTTCCTTCTGGAAAAATGGTCATAATCGCAAAAATGAAAAAAAAATAATTACAAAAGGCATAAGGAAACTTTTCGTAAAAATCCACCCCACCTCATACACACACACACACACACACATATATATATATATATATATATATAGTGTGCTCCAAGATTCACCTTGGCATTTCAAAATGTCATGACATGTCGGATTTTTCTTATATTTTATTTTCCCCACATCTCAGCCAGAATTTAGTTTAACATAGGAAAAATTCACCACTGAAATCATAGAATGTTATATTCGATTTAACCAAACTCCTGGTTACCAGACAATTTCACAATATTCCAAAGTTTTATTGCCACAACGTTCTCTTGGTCTGTCACCCGCGATTATTTTGTGGGTGGCTAGCTTAAGGAGCGTGTATACATCAACAAACTGCAGACAGTTCAGCAACTCAAGAATTATATCTGTACAGAATTTCGAGGGCTGCAGTCAAAGTTATTAACAACTGTTACAGAGAACGTTATGCAAAGGTCGCGTATGGAGGAAGTCGAATATGGAAGATATTTACGTCATATAATTTTTCATAATAAAATGGAACATGTTTTCAGTTTTTACAGTTTCATTACTTGTAAAAAAATGTTGAATAATAATAATAATAATAATAATAAGTTGAAGTTACTAGAGTTTAAAACCCTAGGTGATTTTTTGGGACACACATACACACACTTTACACACACACACACACACACACACACACATATATATATATATATATATATATATATATATATATATATATATATATATATATATATATGCGCGGTAATTATTGGAAAGCGCTCAATATCAGTGATAGAGCTAACATATTCATTGTACGGATCTGAGTTTGTAACCCTGGGTTTTACGCTTTTTTGTGATCATAAGACAAACTTTGTCTGATGAGCGCAAAAGCGTGAAACCCAGGGTTTATACTGATATCCATATAACTGAATATATATATATATATATATATATATATATATATATATATATATATATATACAGTACTGTTCAAAAGTTTGAAGACACCCTCAGAATTAACATAGGATGAACTTGACCGAAAGAGTGAAACCATTCCATACAACAAAAAAAATAAATAAAAAGAGCTCTTACAGTCATTGAAAATAGAATGTAATGAATTATCAAACTTATACTATGAGAAAATTTGAAAACGAATGGCAAAGGTCTGTGCTGCAGTAATCAAGGCTAAAGGAGGATATTTTGACGAGAGCAAAATACATTTTTTTTCTCATAATAAAATTTCTAATAAAAATCATGTCTCACTTTTTTAACAATGTATAATTATTTTCTCTTATTTAAAGTACAAAACATTTACTTTTGGGGCCAAATTAAAATCACCAGCTGTGGCCTCAAACCTTTGAGTTGTATAGTACATATATATATATATATATATATATATATATATATATATATATATATAACGGAGATGTTATAGTTTTCCAACGAGAAAAAGTGTAGTGTATATTTTAAAGAGAAGAGAAAATGACAACTCTTCGCCTGCTGAAGGTCGCAAAACCGGAAACACGTGTAGCAAAATTATGGAAAATAACGTATAATATATATTAAAAAAACAGACATTATAACCAAAAAACGTTTTTCAACTTCTCTTCTCTTTAATATATATTTATATATATATATATATATATATATATATATATATATATATATTGTTTAAATGGGACGTGTTTCATCGTTTTTATTGATTTTTTATCACAAAGTTTTTTTTTTTTTGGTTGCCTTTCTCTCCGGCTTTCTTGGATCTGAACAACCAATTTTCATATAACGAAACTATAACAACACATATCAGGCATAATTAGAAAAATCAGGTGCTTGAAGGAAGCAGCATTCATACTTCATTTAAATCATTTGATCAGTAGGCCAAGCGTAGATATTAACTTCCTTTAGAGGCAACTGGTTATCGAATAACCTATTGAGGAAATTGAAGTTCTGCAAAGCGCTGTTTAGATGTCCTTTGGAAAAGGATCTAAAATAGATCACAGGGTTCTTTTTAATATATTTTTTAATCGTTCCACCCCAAGCAAGGTGACAACGCCACTAAGAAAGCAGGGGTGGGGTTATAGGTTGTGACAGTGACAGAAAAGACTCAGTATATGGAGGATTGAGGAAAAGAAAAAAGATGAACAGGATTCAAGAAGACAGGAGATGGCGATTGATGTTGCATTTATATTTTGGAAGATTGTAGTTTTCAGGGAAGCAAGAAATCGGAAGGGAGCTCCACAGGTGGGAAGTGCGAGAAAAGAACCTGTTAGAGTAGAAATGGCGGTTGCATTTTAGCTAATTCAACAGTAAAACAGCGATCCCTATTTGCCTATATGGTAGCACGTTTAAATTCATGTATTCGGGTCATCAGGGAAAAAAAGGTCACCAGAGCAGTTGAAAAGTCACGAATTTAACTCATAGATCAGGCGTACAATAGCTCTGATGTATTTGATTTTACGGTATATCAACACCTGAATGGGTTGTTTAATGCCGACAAGATTTTTAGGATAGGTTCGTATGAATAGAATATGTATTCTTTGTAAGAAATCAGTTTGTAGATCAGGTTTCATTGACGTATTTTTGCAAAGAGGGTTTTTGTCAAGAGTCAAATGTATTGCTGGTAATCTAGTAATTCTTTATTTTAAATGTATTGCTAGTAATATATATATATACATACATACATATACATACATACATATATATATATATATATATATGTATATATATATATATATATATATATATATGGAGAAATATAGTCTTAAGATGTGCTATATTTATGGAATAAAGTGCTCAATATCAGAGATAGAGTGTGTGTAAATATAAAAGTGAACATACAAGTCAACACTTAGAGGCGACTGTTTCATGCTAGATGCAATCATCAGGCCACCTGATGATTGTATCTAACATAAAAACAGACCGTCGCCTCTAAGTGTTGACTTCTATGTTTATATATATATATATATATATATATATATATATATATATATATATATATATATTGTATTGTTTGGTATTCTTACTATAAAAATCTATTTTTATACATTCAGAGAGTTTTGACCCAATTTTCAATTTGGGTGGTGTTAACTATTTGCCCATAGCTGAGACCCTAACAAGTGCTACCACCCCCCAAAAAATTGTGAAGAAAATGGATGTGTACACATTCCCCCACTGAGGGTATTTTGAGTTCAAAATATCTGAACGTACTTATTTAATGTCGACAAGATTCTTAGGATAGGTTCGTATGAATAGAATATGTATTTTTTGTAAGAAATCAATTTGTAGACAGAAGATGGTGATTGATGTTGCATTTAAATTTTGGAAGATTGTAGTTTTCAGGGAAGCAAGAAATCCGAAGGGAGTTCTATAGGTGGAAAGTGCGAGAAAAGAAACTGTTAGAGTAGAAATGGCGGTACATTTAGCTAATTTAGGTTGTTTAATGCCGACAAAATTTTTTAGGATAGGTTCGTATGAATAGAATATGTATTCTTTCTAAGAAATCAGTTTATAGGTTTTATTGACGTATTTTGGGGTTTTTTGTCGAGAGTTAAATCTATTGCTGGTAATTTTTTTTCTCAAAAATGTATTCCTGTTATTTTGTACTATAAAACTCTATTTTTACATTTTCCTAGTGTTTAGACCACACTTTGAGGGTTAACTATTTGCCCTGGTACCTTAACAGGTGCTTCCACTCTGGGTCAGGGTGGACCTGGGAACACCAGCAATTAAAAGGTGGTTCCACGCTCCTCAAAACCTCCTGATCAGAGGCCTTGCTGCTGGATGTAGTTTATCGTCATACCCAAAAATATCTCCCCCCCCCCCAAAAGAAAAACCTCAAAGAGGGGCACGGGATGTTATGTGTATGGGGAGGAAAAAGCATGCCATGCTGCATAAGGCTTTGTCATTTCTAAACACGCACAGAAGGATGCTGAGGATATCATGGATCAAGCGTGTGAGCAATGATGAGGTTTTGAAGAGGATACAAACAAAGAGGAAGCTTATACTTAGTATTAGGAAGAGGCAGCTGAAATTTCTGGGACACATAATGAGAAAGGAGAGCCTGGAGAATATGATACTCACAGGTCGAACAGAAGGAGAGAGCGAGACAAGGGAAAGCAACGTATGACATACCTAGCGGGATTAAGCAAATGGGTGACAGAACGTGGTCTCGGGGAGATGGCAGATGGACGAAACTTATTGAGAGCTACAAGGCATAGGGAGAAGTGGAGAGTTATGATCGCCTACGTCCTGAAAGGATACGGCACATGAAAAATAACGCGTCAGACATCCGGGTAGTCTGGAGAGTAAGACTTTTGAAACGTCGTAATGGAGATCAACAGAAACGATGAATTTAGTCCAAAAAAATAAAATATTAAAAATCATCCAGGCAATGTTTTTTTTTTTTTTGTGTTTGTTTTTTAACATGTCAGGTTTTTACTTAGAAAATATACAAATTGTAGAAATAAAAGTGACCTTTTCGGAAAAAGGTCACGCACACGTTAAAAAAGAAAGAAATCAGAAAGCAATAATAAAAAAAAAAAGAAGCTATGAATTAGAACTTAAATATTACCACTGGAAAAATGCATGCACGACAAAAAATTAATATCGATAACAATAATAGTTTAATGAATATTCATTTATAAATAATAATAATAATAATAATAATAATAATAATAATAATAATAATAACAATAAAAACAAAATAAATAAAAATACATGAAATTCACGAGAATT